GTCAAGCAGCAGCCGCCAGCCACTAGCTGTCATGCAGTCGAGTCCTGTCCTTCTGACGCGACCAGCCAAACTGACAGGTTCGGGACTGCGTGAGTTGTTAAAAAAAACTTAAACACTTTGGAGATGAAAGTGTTCATGACTTCGATAGAATGCGATCGGGAGCGAACGAAATGGAAGTTGTTTTAACATCAATCAAATTAACACGAGTTTTTGCTGTGAAGATCAGAAGCTACTAAAACTAACTGAAAATAGGTTTGCACGCTACATGTTTGTTTGTAGGACATATACAAAATGTAGGAGCATGTGAGAGCGTAAATTGTAGTTCGATGGGATCGAATATCACTGAAATGTGATAAGAGAATTTTCATGTTTCAATTTTATTTCACAATTTCGGTCGGAAGGCACAGAAAAAAGCAATACAAAAACCACAAAACATTTTTTCAAAAGAATTTCATACACATGCGCTCAGACCTTGAGGTTCGAATTAACCTTCTCCTCTTTTACCAAGTCCCTAATCTCGGCTTTAGCACAGGTGTGCGTTGTAAACATTTCACGGTCAGGGTTCCACGCAGGTGCTAGAAACGACAGACGACAGACAAATCTGAAGCAGTACAGCCTGGGGCCATACTTTCAAAACTCGCTAGGTGAACGTAAGTGCTTACGCTCTATTTTCTTATCAATGATTGGTGGATTTTGCTCGAAAGGCCGCCAATGATTGGCTGATGAACTTACGATCTCTTAACTTTTTTTGAAAGTATAAGCAACAGGTATGAGTATCAGACGACCACAAAATGCCCGGAAGGTCAGGCGTAGGATCTTAGAGTCCAAGAGCGTGACAACGTGTCGAGATGGAGCACGATTCTGCATACCTCGGGAAAATATTGATATATTTCCAAACAGTTTTTAGATCTAGGACATTATATTATGAATTGAATCTCTTATTATATTTATTTATTATATCAATTATATTAATTTATTTAATGTATTACTTCAATTTATTTACTTTATGTATATTAACGTATATTATGAATTGAATCTTGGGTTCTCAAATTCAACGAGCCCATTGCAAGTAATCTAAACTCTATGGCCAGGAGAAAAAATTATCTAGCTTGCAAATTAGTTCATCCAAAATCAATTCATTTGAACAGGGGCTAATTATAAAACATGAACAGAAATTGAACGACTGTGATCGTTCAAACGATTTTGTGTGGTTAAATTTCATGAAAACATGAAACTATTTAATGAGTTTACACCCTCCAAATATTAGCTATAAGAAAATGACAGCGATTAAATAAAGCATCATTAAGACAAATATAGCGTGATTCACACTTGTGTGACTCATAGCTACAAGTAAGATGAGCTTGCGAGACTTGCAATAAACACAAATCAGAGGAGCACGAGAGACATTCCTCTGGTTCTCAAGAGATCACCCTTGACCTTGCAGGGCAGCAAGCAGTGCAGTGAGTGCATTGTGTGTACAGTAATGGCCACCCTATGGCACACACACACATACATATCCCTTCCCATATACATACACATGTATACGTATACAAAGACTACACAAGCACACACACAAACTTAGCTACGAGCGTGTGCACTGCGCAAGCTCGTATTCTTGAAGACAGTAGAACGTCAACGGAGATGCTATACGTATTGCAAGCAAATGCCCATCCAAGGAGTAAGAAACACTTGCTTTTACCTTAACATCAAAAGCAGGTCGTCATCTAGGAGCCAGTGCATGTTGTAATATGCAGTACCTATTGTAATAATAGATAATTAATACTACCTAGAGGCACACATTTTCACGTGCATCAAGTTACAGACCGCGTTCTCCCACGAAAGAAACCGGCCTTCGACTGGTCACAGCAGAGAATTAGTGAAAATGAAACAAATTAATTAATCAACCAATATTTGCCAAGCTTCCCACATGCAGGTACTTACCGTTATAGTAAAGTAATAAGAGTTTTCTTGGGAAACATTGCAAAAAATGTCCTCATCAGAGCATCTAATTCAAATATTTGTTTATCCCTCCACTTCTGGGAGGATGAAACTTACAAATCTTTCTCTTTCGCATGTCAAATCATTACACTCCATTCGCTTCCTCCCAATACTAAATATGCCTCAGGGTCCCACATAGGAAAGAAGTCACCAAGCGCACCGCTCATGAACGACCAAACGAGCGGTCTTCAGTTGGGCAAAAACAGAGGCTAAAATGAGGCACAGAACCTGTCATGAATTCGGGAGCCCCTTGGGTAAATGAAGGGAGGCTGAGCACAAATAGGAGAAGGCAAATAACATCAGCTGAACGGCGATCTTCAAGCGTGGCTATGCTGCTTTTATAAGGTAGGATATAATTACGGCTGCCCGCTGTGATTGAAATGACCAGCCGATGAGAATGTATTTAGATACAGAGTGCACGCTACAACTCGGATCTAAATAACGCTGCCTTAGGAAGTACATGCATGGTCAGTCCAGTGTAAATATTTATTGTAATTTATCACCCATGCATGGTCGCCTTGAGAATCTTAGGCAAGACTTGGATGGAATTTTTGTTATGCAAATAGCGAATACGCTTCATGCCTTCAAATGAAGCAGCACAAACTTGGACGTTTTCTTAACATAGCTCTTCCAAGCAGTGTGCATTTAGATAGTTTATCACGCTGAGAACGTAAGTCTTTTTCTCAACGTAGTAACTGATCGTTGAGAGAATCTTTGTTATTTTTCGGCGACATTAGTTCTACAACTTCTTTTACATTTCGCGGTTTCCGTGACAAAAAAAAAAGCGAGGGAACATCATTCAAATGCTTCTTGATTGGTTAAAAATTCTGAGTTGGCAAATTATGCAAAACTTCAGCTAAATAGTAAATAAATGTAATAGGGTACATCATATTATATGATGGTACTGGTGCGCATTATAATGGTTGAAAACCATGGAGGATTCAAGTACGAACTTTAGTTCTTCAAACCTACTAATGGAAAATAACAGAAGGGCATCAAGCAGGAAATTCGTAAGCGCTGCAGTGACCGAGCAACGGTAACTAGGCGCGTGCGCTCGTATATCCGATCTCTGACCTCACGATCCACGCTCGTATATCCGATCTCTGACCTCACGATCCACTAGAACCAAAGTCCCACGATTAGAGGCCTTCAAGACGCGATGCACTCATTCCCTTAGCACGCACCTACAATCCCACATCCATACAAACGTGATCGCTTCAACACTCGGCCGTCCAAGTGTAAATATTCCCACACTATCCCTGTAGTTTTTTATCTACATTGCGCGCTATACGTTCGTTCATCATAAAATATCGTGTAGTATTTGGCACAGCAAATAAATAATAAACAGTTTTTAACTCTAGTAGCAAGTTAAGAAGTACGTTTACGAGCTACAAAATGACGAAAATTATCAGTTTTTCCACGCCGACATGTAATGAATTTCCCCTCCTTCGTTTCAATATCATCAGGAGAAACATTCCTCTGGTTATAATTTCCGAACTGACGATGGAGCTGGACTCCGAAACGTTTTCTTTAAAGATACTATGATTTTTGTGGAGTTTTCTTTGCTTTCAAGTTTTTAGTGAATTTGCGATTCAAGCAAACCAGTGACATTATTATCAATATCATCAGGCAATGCAAATTCATGAATCCAGATTGACGCGGACTTCGCGTCAAGGCAAGTGTAGGAGTCGACGAGCTCTACCAACCTTGACCCTTCACTGGAACCTCCTTCTCCCTACCCCTCCCCTTAGAGTACCTCTTTTCTACCCAGGTACGACACCCATACAAATATAAACAACTGTAAAAACTTGAATGGTAAAAACTACATGTTAAGGCAACGATGATGCACAATATCGAAATGTTAAGTTCAGGACGACGCATAACATCGATGCCTGGAGATTTAAGATGAATACTCAACGATTGAATAAACAAAAGTGAAAACGAAAGGATAAAAACTGATCAAATAAACCGGGAATACGACTACAATTATCTTCTAGACCGACGAGTTTAAATAGTAGTCAACTTTCTGGATCAATGTCCTGAGCATATTACAGGCAACCTATCATCGTCGACAGAGCGACATCTGGTTGATTGTAATCTGATACTGATTCCTGTGCGGGGTAAATAAGCCTCATTACCTGGCAGTAATAATTCCAGGCATTAATCAGGAGGGTCTTCGTGGATATTAGAACTTAAGATTTCACAGATGAACTTAGTCTCTGAAAAATAAAATTTATGGGCAAGAAAAAAGTGCTGGCGTTCTTAAAAGAATTTCGTCAGGAAACTAAGTGGAAACTAAGAATAAAACTAAAAGGTTCGAATTAAGAGGTTTAGATTAAGAGGTTCAGGAATAATTGTAAATGATGAAAACGGAGGTTAGGACAGGAATAATAGGCGTAAAGTAAAAGAATGGATAAGCATGCCCAAAAAACATGGACCAGAGTTAACATCGACTGTTAGAGAGCAAACTTATGATCAATTAATTGGACCCTAATATAACGAGATGCTACTCTGTTGAATAGATCATAAAAGATTTGAACTGCAATGTGAGAACTCATAACAACCGAAAATCTCCATATTTATATAAAGGGAAGGGAGTAACTTCAGTTATGAAAACTTTCAATCACGAATGGAAAAAGTTATCTCTGCCATAAGAAACTGCAACTACAAATCAATTCGGTCTCACCAACTAAAAAATCTGTAGCTAAGAACGTTTTTAGTCACACAAGCAGTGGAAAAATACAGTTAAATTAAATTTTTAGTCGCTCGTACTGCAAAAATGTATAGCCAAGACTATTGCCAGTGATACGAGGCAAAATATTGGCTGCAGTTAAGTTATCAGCTACAAAAATACTGGTCAGCGAATGGATCAATTAATCAAGTCCAGTGTGGCACTAGAAAATATCAACCACAAATGGAAGATGCAAAAACGAACGCTGAACTCATTCAGTTCACACAATTAACCCGGGTTTCATGCTTTTTATATATGAAACCTCACCGACCGCCAAGATAACAGCTGAGAAGGAAGGACACCCGTCCGATAAATCGCCCAAGGCTGGAGGGCCTTCTACGATTCGCTGGATGCGACTCGGGCAACCCTTAGTTTTGGGTGACCACATTAGAGGTCCATCGAACAGGTAGTGGACGCGTTTCGGGGCGATGTTTTGGTCCTATTGTGGAACGGCATGAACAGAGAATAGTGGACCAGGAACCAAAAGGAAAGAATTATCAACAGTGAGTTTCCAACAGAAGTTGAGTAATAGAAAGCGTTACACTTATTAAAGAAACCTAAGAATGGAAGAAAATAAATAGGAAAGGAAAGGGACTACTTGGTGACTTAAAAGTAGAAGCATAACCGTCTCTGAATCTTGGAACTAAGAAAAACATCAGTTCCATTTAAAAAGTGTCAAAAATATGTCAGGCATAATTCAGTTTTACATAGTTTCTTGTTTTATATGAATAAAAGCGGAATTTGCAACTGATGTACCATCTTATTTAGAATATGCCGTCATCCATAAAGCTAAGCCTTGTTAGAGATAGGTGAAAAAATCTTAGCTAAATAGGGACTCGTGTTCCTTCAAAAATCTGAGACAAAAAGCAGACTCTTAAGATGAATTAATTACTAATTATGGATATCGGTAGTCGACGCTTAAGTATGGCTATCATTAAACGAAGCGTCGACTTACATAAACAATACCCGACTGAAATCAATCTAAGCGAGATATCGCAACTGATATGCCAATCCTGGAGAGCTCTCAAGATTTGGTTAAATTTACTAGTATTGTGCAAATACCTTGCACAATAAGGTGATTGAAATCAGAAGTGAATGAAGAAAGCCAGTGCACCCATAAATTTCACCGAAAATAAGTTCAAGAGTTAAAAAAGAATTTCGCCAAATGGAGGTTCACGTCATCACGGAGGTTCCCAGTGATATCCAATTCAAATTAAATTAGTCACCAGTCCCCTTTCAGTATACAGGCGGCGGGCACATCGGTAGCGATTGGATGCCTAATCTTTGTACGGTGATAAACCATTCATTAATGATAAGCATTATCGTCAAGTGCTTTACTGTCAGGTGAATCTAACCGATAAGGCTCAATGTTTATTTCTTACCGTCGATACATGGGGAAATTCTATATCGGCTGTAATGCCACAAAACAGTTAAATGTTTAATACCCAAATCACAAGAATCTGGTAGAATTTAATAGGAAAAGCAGTTTACGTAGTGAATTACAAGTCAAAGTTATTTGCCGGAAATTGGTAAGCAGGCCTAATCAATCTTACTTCTAAAACATACTAATAAAACGATTTATGAAGTTCTTATATTGACACAGATATATACGGATACTGAAGCGGTGGCGTTTCAAACACGTTTTATTTGTATGCACTTACTCTGTTGGAGTCCAGAGCATCCGTGGAGTGTTCCTCACGTTGACGAAAGCAGTTCGTACATTTGCTCTTATTAAAGATGTTCGCTTGGAACTTGCGACAATCAGGCTTGTACGTGGACATGGCTAAGCTACTTCAACGTGTTCAATACAATCATCTTGCACTCAATTTTCAGGTGGTATAGCAAAATTACGTTAGCACTTTACTGTAGTTCTGTTCCAACTGCCACTAGAATTTCAACAAAGCTATTCTTTCGGGACCGGGGATCGAACTTGTATTATTTTTTAACAATCACATATTTGCAAATTTATCAGAAACTTTTCAAGTTGGTAAGACGGTACTAGTTAAGTTTAGTCTATGACACAGTTCTTAAAATTACGTTTTAACAAACACAGATTCATCTGTGGAGATTGGAATTTATCAAATTAGAATGAATTAAATATAATTGAATATACAAATAAACGAACTAATCACCAAATTACACAGAAGTTTCATTTTTAAATATCTTGCACCAAACAACACGCGAGCAGACACAAATACCGGATTAATAACCTGATTAACCCCCATAGTCCATACCTTTAAGACAAAGGCATGTTTCAGTCCTAGAGCCTAAATGAACATTAGGCAGTAGAGCAGGGATTTCTCTACGATTACGTAACCAGGACAAGTTTGTCGGTAGAGAAATGATTAATTTTGAAGGATGAGCGGAAATGAAATAACAGTAGTAAAGAACGAAGATTGAATAAATTCATATTCACTTTACATTTAAATCAACGACTAAGCCCCAAATGTAAAAACGTAGAATACATTACATGTCGCCTAAACCACTGAAAATGTCATAATATATTAAGATTTCATTGCACGTTCGCGATAAATATTCCTAGCAACACTCAACAACAGACTTGTCTCTTAGTTCTCCCGTAATTCGAAAAACTACTACAAATAATAACGAACTTAGTTCTCGAAAACAGGCATCACCAATCTTGACGGGGTATTGCATAATTCTATAAATATTTTCTGAGCACGAGCTGCAGGGAGAGTTGAACAGCGTATGGAAGCAGCCCCTACATACACAGGTAGGCCTTGTGAAGTGGAACCATCCGCCTCATCTCGCTCGCAGGTACCAACAATCAAAAGAAACCGCTTACTCACTGGGTTTCTTTGAATTTTTAACCAAAATGTACGTAAAAATTCCACATAAATATGTTCTTGAAGTACTTGTCAGGAAATAACACTTCAAGTGATAGAAAAAAATCACTTAACTAGTCAGTGAATAGGTAACAAGTGTAAATTTTCCTTGAACAACACGCACCACACTCCCTCCATGGAAGCTACTCCACGTGTGGCAGCGGTGAACTGTTTTTACTGCTGGTGGCTCCCGATAGCTGCCAGATGTCGCCATGTGACACTCCAATAGAATTTCTTCTCTTGAGTTCTCTCACAGTCTGTCAAATTTTACATTGATAGAAATATGGATAATTGAAGTTTCATATATATTTCAATGAAAGTTTAATCATACGCAGAATTCAGAGCCTTGGCATTCGCTCAAATACTTCGGGTTCGGTACATTTTTACCGGGTTTCATGAGTGAATATATTTTCGGTCATCAAATTACCAAATGGTTTCATTGAATATTAAAGTGTTCTCAAGTTGATTCTTCTTTCTAATGTCGAGAAACTTTCATAAAGATTACTAATTATAATCGATTTGTTATTAGCGAGGTTGTACGATAACGAGCGAAAATGCCATATAATAATTTTCCTAATGGGAGTTTAGTGCACGTTTTCTACTTCGTGGTTTAGTGCCTGCAAAATTTGTAAATGATACAAAGTTTTAATAGTTTAAAGAACGTTTTCAAATCATGACGCTTGTTTTTCATAGTACGTTCCAGGCGTTGAAATTATTTTTATGTCGAGTGACATGCTGACTCTTAAAGAACATTAAAAATTGTGACCTCGCCTTGGTAGCAATTCATTATCAACTTCAAGTACCAGTAAAGACATGTGAAAATATTTGGGTGCAACTGATACCCGTTTATCGAACGCTAACATTTGTTAAAATATTTAATACGAATAACAATGATAAAAACTCCTTTCTAAAATACTTTATTTATTTAAACTTATCAAAACCATCACTGGAAACAATTGAAGAAAGAACGCAGAAATGTAATGAACAAGAAAATATCCGTATGGGAGTGAAAATTTTTCACATTAACTCATATTAAAAAACATTTGAAATTTACTTTAAAACGTAATTGTTTGCGTAAGGAGAGGGAACGCGTGAAAAAAGCCTTCTTATGAATAACAGCCGTTAGGCGATTTTAATCATGTTCAACAATATAATTCTAACGAGGTACCGGTATCACGCGCGATCCTTTCGACTAGTAGGCAAATAGGCAGTATACCATAAGTAACGAGCGTATCATGTTCCGTTAAAGAGTATTACGGTTTGTATTGCTGTAAAATGAACAGTATCTATGTGTTATTTATTTTAACTGAAAATTCAAGAAAAAGCAGACTTCGAGAGCGAACTCACAACTCTAGATCGTATCTCGGAGCGCTCACCAGAACGTTGTGAACCATCATCGGCAAACTCTTCAAAATTCTCAAGAGCTTGGCGTCGTTGTCCAGAACGACCAAATTTTTCAGACGCGGAATACTCCTCACGATTGTTGTGATCCATTCTACAGTTTGATCGTAGTCCTTAGAGTGATAACTTTTGATTATAACAGTCTCGACCCGGTCCAAGAAATAACACGGCAAGTAGAAAATAACTTCAGACATGTCGTGGTCGCTCAGATGAAGTTCCAGCTTCTTCAACCTGGGGCTTCTCATCAGAAGAGAATGGATGAAATAGTTGAGGTTCTGAGCTCGTCCGGTGTCGGTGATTCGGACTGTTAGTTCCTCTAAGAAAGTGAAGATTTTTGCAAATCTTTCTATGTTCTCTTCAGAGAACTCAAATTTGATGTTTGAAGGCCCGATAATGGTGAGTTTAGTCAGCGTTTCATGGAATAAAGTGATGACGTAAATTACACCTGTAATGCAAATTTCTGTCGTCATTTGGAGACACAAGTTGGTAAACTTTTCGCTGGGCCCAAGATATTTTCCCAGAACGTCAGCAAGATCTTGAATGGGAACGCCGCCTTGTTGAACCCACGTAAGGCCAGTGATTTGATCCTTAAGTTTTAGTAGAAGTGCCTTGAACATCTTAAAGGCTCTCTGATTACAAAGGAAAGAGTCGGCAAAGTGCAGATGTTTCAGGTTACTGTACCTCTTATACTCGCTATTCATGCGAAAATTTTCAAAATCTGCACCTTCGAGCCAGAGCTCTCTGATGTTAAATCGTGGATTTTGTTTCGAAGTTTTCATCATGCGGACTGGTCGGCCTCCAGAAAATGTGTGTCTGATTCCTGGACACTTCGAGGCCCATTCAAGCAAAAGCTGGTCAACTTTCTTGCCGTTCACGTCATTTATTTGAAGTGTCCTGACAAACGGCAGGCTGCTCTTCAATTCTGTAACCATACAGTCTTGACCAACTTCATCAGAATCCTCGTTGGCAGCTTTCATCAGATACTTTTTAATCTTTTTTGACTTTATGCTACCATTTTTACCGACTAGTGTCAGATTTCTAGCAGTACGTGCGAACTCTGCTATGGCCATGAACTCTAATTTACGTCTAGGCTGGCAGTGAAGCAGCTTCAGGTCAGGAGTACTGCACATGCGCAAGAATGAGTAAAATGATTTCGGTCTTTCGAATTTGTAATTATCCAAGCGAAGGTGAGTCACGTAGAAACAATGATGGTGACGAAGTTGAAGCAACAACTCGATAAGCGATCCAGTCACAACCGTTTTCTGGGAGGGAAAATTGGTAGATAATTGAACGAAATAGAAAATTGGTAAATAATTGAACGAAATGAAAAATTGGTAAATAATTTAATGAAATGAAAAATTTGTAAATAATTGAATGAAATAGAAAATTGGTAAATAATTGAATGAAATAGAAAATTGGTAAATAATTGAACGAAATAGAAAATTGGTAATTAACAGCACGAAAATAGCACGGTCCAATTAATGCTTATTCAACTCATTTACAGAGGCGAAATTGGGCAGTGAAGGCGGCAAAAATTCTCCAGTGGTGCAGCAAAAAATTGTTAAAAATTTAAATCAACAAACTAAATACTTCCAGGTATCTCATACATTTCTATCAGATCATAATAATGTATATAAAATGAACCCAAAGTTCTTTAAAAACCGCCATCATAATAAAACGCCAAAAATTTCGTAGAAACTAAAAATTAAACGATGTAATCACCTCACGCAGAAAAGAAAAAATCTATTAGCCTAATAGTAAATGCAATATATTAGCGTTAATTTCTAAGAGATTATAATACAAACCTTTGGACGAGTAACTTTAAAATGTCGATTGATGCTTGGTTTATTGTCTATAAGTGAGTATAAATTCGATTCCTGGAACAATCTGTTAGCCATGTGAACGGAATGATTACGTACCCCTAATAAAAATAAAATAAATAAATATAGAATGCAATAAATTTCATCCGTTTATACTAGCTCACTTCGTGTGCGATGAAGCCAACTCTGCCGTCGCCTATAGCGAGCTGCAACACGAGTGTAAGAAGCGGCGAATTTTGAAGAATCTCATTCAGTACCAGGGCGGACTCAGTGTGTCTCCTAACCCACATCTCCCAGAAATCTTCTTTCTCTGTCATGACGTGGCGATGAACGGAGCCCTGTTTCGTGTACTCCAACTCGAACGCGTTCTTCTTCCACGATGACTTGCAGTGATTCATGTTCGTGATCGACTTCAACAGGCTCTGGTTGAAAAAATTTGCAAAACTCATCCTCTCTAAAGACAACAAGGTTCAGTGTTATGGAGTCATAAATTAAGAAAAACACGGGCTGAATGAACTCAAATTGGTTTCCGCTAAGAACGCATTTGTTAAAAACGTCCAAAAATCTGTTTTACACTATTTTCAGCTTTCAACTAGGAACTCCCAAACTTGAGACCAATATTCTTACAAGTAATTCTTAAAGAAAATGAAACTTGCTTTAAAATTTTATCAAGAACCTGACATGCGAAATTTTATATTTCCAATCGCGAATTCGAGAGACGCACTCACACTGAGTTTGTCTTTGAAAGAGAGTGCGCTTTCAGGAGGCCATTCAAGTTCAGAGTCTCCCGAGGCGCTGGTAGTCTCGTGCCCAACGGCGTCTTTGCTGTAGCCTTTGCCAAGCATCCATTCGATGGCTCCAACGCCTGCTTTCCTCGCCTTCTTCGCAATCTTAGTGCCCTGAAGATGAAAAATTTTACGTATCATCGCAAGTGACTTTTTTTGGTTGTGTGATCGTCAAAATCATAGAATTGCTTAGCAACTGGTACTACAGAATCTCTCACAGAAATCAAATTTATCCGCAATTGGAGCAGTAATCATCATGACTGAATTTGTGGACTTGGAGAGAACGTATTTTTACATGAAACTATTAATTTAAAAACGAATAACATGTAATGGTACGAAACTAATTCGATTAAACCAAGGATACGCAACATATTCCTATATGAAAAACTTCTCTTCAACGTAGACTAAACTTGCCCGAGTTCGCGTTTCCTCTGCTTCTTGCAGGGCGAAAATGGGACGGAGTGTGGCAGCGATAACCTTCCTAGCTGCTGCAACGTTCAGCGGCGCTAGCTCAGGTCCAAACATTGGTTCATGTCTGGGCTTAGCTTCCGAGCCAATGGGCAACTCAATAGGGAATATATTGCCTTTACCAGGAATGCAAAACGAATGGCGATCATAAATTTCCTTGCTCGTCATTTGGTACACTTTGTCTTCGGGATCAGGACCGCTCATTTTGGTGGAGTTCTTGGCCGATCTTTTGGGAGTCATCAAAGCGGTTCGAGGCTCCCCGGGGATGGTAAGGTAGAACAGGTCGTCGGGCTCCTCGTCTGACGGCGTGTAAAATCCCCGAGTTTGCGAATTATCGCTAGCGCAGTCAGACTCTCCCGAGGATGAATCTTCACCATTTGTGGGGTCTTCCTCATTACCTTCGGAATCAGAGAACAACTGGAGTTTTTTTTCGACGTAGGACTGCATGGATATTGCATCCATGCTGCCTACTATCGAGCCAGAACGGATTTTAGAGGTTGAGTTTCCATCGTCTTCTTGTTCCAAGTCACTCGAGTCGGTAGAAGACGTGGTGCTGTTTTTCTTTAGATAACCGAGTGATTGAAGGCTGAGTTCCGAACATTCAGATTCACTTTTCTTTTGTTTCGTCCTATGGCAGTCAGTTAAATCATTGATACTATTAGAAAACATGCTTCCTTTATTATAAGAAATGTAAATGAGCTGGAAGAAAAATTGTTTTTTCGTATTTAACAAATTAGAAGTGTCAAATGGCCCAGGCCAAATTAGACTTAGACTTGGCCAAACATGAAGATTAGGCGACAAATGAGCTACCAGTACCAAGAGCACTGGCAGAAAAATTGTTTGAAGCAATGGCTATTGCTTCAAAAAACTGCGACAGTTATCTAATCGTAAATCATGATTTTACAAATCTCCGATTATCTTGAATGTTTAAAATGTAAACTAGGATGGCAGCTAATGAATATCAGTACATATAATTTATAATATTCCGGATGGATAATAACTTTGCATATACTAGGCAATTCACTTCACTTCTACAGGACTTCAGGTACCGCTCCTCAAAATATTCATTCGAACAACCGAAAGTCCTATCTTTCCTGCAACAAATGATACAAGGACCTAATGATTGAAAAGACGGGAGGATATAAAAAACTACGACAAGAAGCTTGCTGGAAGAAACCATATTAAAGAAACCATATGATAAGTACTGCAAACAGGGCACAACAGCCTTTAAATTCCATGCATGGTCCTGCAGTAGTTATTTAGTTACTGCATAACTAACGATATTCAGGTTCTAAACTCAGTGTACTGTGTACGTTATACCTATAAACATTTGTGGAACTTAGTACGCATGTAATAGCCTGTGCTCGCAACACCTGCTCATTTAAATCACAAAACTATTTTTGCAAGAGATGGAAATCATTTAGAATGCACCCTGTGAATTGAGCACTGAAAGACGATTGCAGCGTACTATAGGACATAATTTATTTCGTTTCGCCTAAGGTAGGTACATCAGAACAACACAAATTCATTTAGTATTCGACTAGTTTCTATCCAAAACACCTGCTTGCTAAACAGTCTGGTAAACACTTGAGCATTCTGGTGAACTGCAGCTCGAACACTTACAGATTTTAAATAGCGACCTGAAGTTATCGAGATAGAACGCCACTACACTGCTGATTGGATCATCAGCAACCCCATCACACGTCTCCCGTGTATTTAACATCTAGAATTGGTCGCGGTGAATTTAATTAGCAACAAGGTATGCGTGACCAGAACTACTGTGACATCTAGTGGAGCGTTTCGGTAATGCAAAAAAATATTGATCTGCTGGTTAGCGAGAAAAATCGAAAAATTATTAATAATAATTTAGTGTAACCGGATGAAATCTTTCCACTTCATTCATATTTGTTTTATAGTTCTCAATGCAATATTACGGCATATCCTGTAAATATTAAGAAATGTAATCGTGATTTTAATGAATTTCTCGTATTAAAAAGCCATGCCACTAGATGGCGCTCAGAATGTACATTCGCTTCAAGCTGCTAGAATTTATTCCACCATTTATCAGTACTCACAGTACCACGTTTTTTTTCTTCAAGTGGTTGACCTGGCATCATTATATACTATTTTATTATATAATTATATATTTGAACCTGAACTTGAGGACAGGAATTCATTGACCAAGTGTGTGAAGGATAAGTAAGACACCATCAGCCTAGAGAACTTATCTTGATACTGGGGTGGTAATACATGAGAGTTATATTAGAAGTATAAGGCTAAAGCCCCGTCCACACGCTCAAACTTATCGTCAGTCTTGCATGTCATGCCAGGTTTGACGACAAGACAAAGCGTGTTCATGCCAGACTGACGATAAGTTTGAGCGTGAGGACGGGCAACCGACTAATTGGTCAAACTTTTACTCTATCTCAGTCTATTTTGATGATGAGAGCTGTGACATTATTCCTCGCTAGCTCTAGTTTTTTCATATGCCAGGATATCCGACACTGGTTTCACGATTTATTTTGGTGAGTTTATGGAGTTATATCGTAGTCTCCCATGTTTATGGTAAATTCGATCAAAAAGCTACAGTGACAAGAACAAGAGAGCACTGGCCTATGCGGCATTGATCGCAAAGTGCAAAGAAGTTCATCATACAGCTAACAAAGACTTTGTAACGAAGAAAATAAACTCTTTATCGAAAAGAATGTGCCAAATGAAGTCGTCAATGCTCTCTGGTGCTGGTCGGGAACTCGGGATGCTGTCTATCAACCCTCAGAGGCTCAGTGTGGTATTTTTTAAAACCATTTCCGGGACCACCGCGTACGTTTGCATCGCTTTAACCTAATTATGAAGGCGCAAACTGCGCTCACTGCAGCATCACTAGCTCGTTGAACGGATTTTATTCAAATTTGAAAAATAAGTAGATAATATCAGTAATTTGTGGACGGAATTATTTCAGATTTTTACGTCAAAAACTTTTTTATTAATACGGAAAACCTAACTTCATTTTCAACTCAACCAGCCATAAATCCGTCAATAATGAACGGATTTGATTCAAATTTGAAAATTATGTAGATATTATCAATAATTTGTTAATGGAATTATTTCAGATTTTTACATCAATTTTATCATTTTATTAATACGGAAAACCGTATTAATAACTTCACGTTCACCTCGCAGGTTAGGTCCTAGTCAGGTCAAGTTTCACTATTTTGTGGCATTAAAAAAAGTAATCGATGTAAAAATCTGAAATAAATCCGTCCACAAATTATTGATAGTATCTACTTAATTTTGAAATTTGAATGAAATCCGTTCATTATTGATGGATTTATGGCTGGTTGAGTTGAAAATGAAGTTAGGTTTTCCGTATCAATAAAAAAGTTATTGATGTAAAAATCTGAAATAATTCCGTCCACAAATTATTGATATTATCTACTTAATTTTCAAATTTGAATTAAGTCCGTTCATTATTTATGGATTTATGGCTGGTTGAGTTGAAAATGAAGTTAGGTTTTGCATTCGAGTGCGCAGGCCAGTTCGCACGCGAGTTCGCTGAAGTGTCGATCCGGTCAGTCATGCAAGCACCAGTTTACATAAATCTTCAAAAACTTTGTCGAGCACATTGTGGAGTTTTAGATTCGCCGTTAGAGTATTATTAATAATTTACTAAACATAATTTTTGTACCGTTACAGTATACTAATACTCTTCTAGGAGAACTGAAAATGGCAAACTTTGTGGGAACAAATCCCCATGCAGTAATCATAAGCAAATGGTAGTTTCCCCGACTTCTGTAGCTTCTGACATGAGGCTAGACCGCATAAGTTAGTACGCGTATTTTCGGTAGATGAAAACTTTGGGGTTTCACCCTCAAGATTGAGATTGCCCAATTTCGTAATATTTGCGCATCAAATTTGCAATTTGCACCTGTTTCGATGTAAATAGCCCACAACTTGCTTCTTAGAGTTCATATACAGCATATTCTTTGTTGTATAGATATTCATCTATACAACAGCTATGCTTGAAAAGAAGGCAGTTGAAACCGAAGCAGGAACGGAAGGTATAAATGTATCGACTATAGCCTTCTAGGTGCATATTGCCGCTTGATTGGTCGGCGAATTAAATTTCAACAATACTTTAAGTATTGTTTACGTTGACACGACTGGTATAATGGTCATTATATCACAACAGCAGCTCGCGTGAAGTTCTTTTTGCTGGTCATTTAAACAAAGATCAAATCCATCAAAACCTCGATTGGCTCCCGTAGTCGTTATTGGTGGTTGAGCCTGTGCTCTCTTCTCATGCTCCCTTGTGACCCACTTGGATTTAGCAGCCATCTCTCAGTGAGTGTCACTTGGAACTAGTGACTACTTTTTTGCCTCTGTTTCTACTCCTCTTTTGTACATACGACTGCATCTGCACCCCATCATATACTCATCTTTTCGCTCCTCTACTCTCCATACTCTCATGTCACATCCTCCAGTGGGTACTTGTGCCTCAATCCTAATGGGCTTGTCCCTGAGGGCGAGAGACCCCAACCCCAAACAAACCAAACTCACCTACTCCCAATGTTGCCTTCTTCTTCTCATATCTTTTCCATTTCCTTCCTTTTTCTGGCCACTCTGCACCACCTCTTTTTCTCTTACACTCTTTCCTGGTGCCATCGCAAGAACAACAAACAACAAAAACCTGTATTGTACATGCAGTCGTTACAATACGTTTTCCATTTATAAATAGCATTTTAAAATACTTCCACGTGCCGTCTAAACTTGAAACGCGATTCAAATATCTCTACAGTGCAAGTTTAAAAGCAATAAAGCACAATTACATCGCACTTCAAGCGCTTGCCTTCGATATCTTCCAATTGCGAGAGGTCAAATCAAGGTTTGGGGAACTGTATGAGCGTAAGCGAATATGAAAAAGAGATCAAGTGATGGGATGCAGATGGCGCACTCAGAGAAGTGAGCGAGACTTTGTCTATAGTGATGCACTTCTTGTCTTTGTGCGGATCAGGATAACGTTCGCTCTCTGCTCATGCTTCTCCACTGCTTGGATAATTTTGCCATTAATTTTTAGAGCGATGGTGTCAATTTTCTTCAAACCAAGTATATACTAAAAATGCATCGAACAAAACGAGGGTTCGTTTATGAGTGAAATTAAGTTAATTTGAACGGCCACTTCGAGTCACTTGGAATTTATATTTACACAAATGTACCTAAACTACATTGTAATGTACATTTACTACCTTGAAATGTACCCATACTACCTTGTACTGAACTGTTATGTGCTGTACTGGACCTTGTTATGCGCTCATCTTCGTGTTTGTTTTCGCCCATGTGTAAGTAAGCGTGCGTGGTTGCACCAACAATATTTTACATTATCTGCATCAAGGGAGGTTTAGTTAGTCCCCGAAAAAAACGAATTTTAAATTCAATTTCTAATCACAGGTTTTCGCCGACATTCTTTTAAACGTCGACATTAATTTTTCGCCGACAAAAGAATAACATTTCAGGTTGGAACTGAAATACTCGCCATCTCTCCCGAAGCTGCACTTAAATATTTCAGCCTTATTCACAACATATTTGATAATAATTAAAATAAAACTTAGTCGGTAACAATTATGTGCATTTGACTCCCCGCAAAACTACAATGCCTATATATATATACTTTAAGTGACTTGCTAGAGAATTTAATGAGTATACATTCAAAGTCACGATAAAACTTCTGAATTATACCTTGCAGTTTTTTTCACGCAGGTAAGAATATTCTTTAGCGAATGAAATCATCTCAGAAAGCCGCTTAATTTCTCGCAATTTCCACAATTGCTCTTCAATTAACCATTAATAAAAAAATAACAAAAATTGGAAACAATGTAACAATTGCAATGTAATAGGAACCAACAATGTTATTTTTCGACTTCCAGAAGAATCTGACCGATCTCCAGGGAACATAAGTTGAGTCAGAGCTTCAATTTCTGCTTGGCATTTGTAAACATGGGATGAACGAACATTGTCCATATTATTTTGTGCTATATGAACATGCAGGGTTATTCACGGAAACTTCACGATTTGAAAGCTCAATAAAAAAATAACTAGTAAAGATATCAATACGATATAAATTTTATTGAAAACTACATTACCTGAAAATTTTGTACCACTTAGTTTTAAAGATGACATCGGACAAATGACGGCCTCCATTATCAATGCATTCAGTTAGTCGATTTTTGAAGTTCCGCTTGACGGGTATGTTCGCTATATGTTGTTCTTCAAATGAGGTAGGGTACTTGGACAGACATTGTAAACAATTGATTCAAGATAAACCAAAAAAAATCACATGGAGCCAAATCGAGGGATCAGGCCGGCCAGAGAAGACTAGCTCTCAATGAGATGAGGCGCTCTGCATTATGTTGTCTCAGACGGCGACAACTCTGCAAAACGGCTATTAGAAAAGTACGCCTCGATAGCAAACGCACGCTGCTCACTTGTCCAATGAATAGTGGCAACTGGCTAGGCGGGACACAAAACTTCATGACCTTGCCTTTCATAGGAAATACTCCCCGCTCTTTTCCTACAACATCTGGCTGCTTGGCGCAAAATACTAAAAAGGAAGTTTCCGTGAATTACCCAGTAAAATAACATGCGTACAATATCCTAAAACTATTTGACGACGCACTGACAGACAAAATCCAGGTCAAAATAACAGGTTAGCAGGCATTTTAAAACAACGACAATGAAGTTTTACCAATTGTTTAACAAAATATTTTACGTTCACTAATTTATATAGCTTTAAATTTGCAATAACACTATCCCAGAGCAGGTCGTTTTACCGCGAATTGATAATTCATGTGCAATCCAAGCACATGCGATAAAAAATACGTAGCGTTCAAATCAACTCCGGTACATGCGATACATTTGCTTCTGATAAATGACACATGAAATTCTAGGCAACTCTGACTCATGCAAAATACTCGCTTCTGATATACGACAAATGGAATTTACAGTCACTCAGGCAAATGCACAATATTTTCTTGTGACAGACCGACACAACTAATATGCTACATCAAGTTGCTCAGCATTAAGTTGCTAAGCAAAATTTACTTTTCACAGACCGACACAAAATTGCTGTCGAAGGCAATATTTGATTTGATAGACCGACATAACTAAAATGCTACATCAAGTTGCTCAGCATTAAGTTACTAAGTAATATTCGCTTTTGACAGACCGACATAACTAATAAGCTACATTGAGTTGCTTAGCATCAAGTTGCTAAGCAATATTAGCTTTTGACAGACCGACATAACTAATATGCTCCATCAAGTTGCTCAGCATTAAGTTGCTAAACAATATTAGCTTTTGACAGACCAACACAACTAATATGCTCCATCAAGTTGCTCAGCATTAAATTGCTAAGCAAAATTTACTTTAGACAGACCGACACAATATGCTACATCAAGTTGCTCAGCATTAAGTTACTAAGTAATATTCGCTTTTGACAGACCGACACAACTAAAATGTTACATCAAGTTGCTCAGCATTAAGTTGCTAAACAAAATTTGCTTTTGACAGACCGACATAACTAATATACTACATCGAGTATCTCAGCATTAAATTGCTAAGCAAAATTTACTTTTGACAGACCGACATAACTAATATACTACATCGAGTATCTCAGCATTAAATTGCTAAGCAAAATTTGCTTTTGACAGACCGACATAACTAATATGCTACATTAAGTTGCTTAGCATAAAGTTGCTAAACAATATTTGCTTCTGACAGACCAACACAACTAATATGCTACATGAAGTTGCTTAGCAATATTTGCTTTTAACAGACCGACATAACTAATAAGCTAAGCATTAGGTTGCTCAGGAAGGCCCCGTGCCGAGCTGCAGCCACGCAGTCCTCGCAGCGGCGGCGGCCCGCCTCACGACGCGCTTGTGGTCCGCCACAGCGCACTTCAGCTCCCGTACAACCTGTCGTACATCAATGCAAAGTAAATTATTACTCATTCAAAACAAACACATAATTGATGTAACGATTTGTTTAAATAATATCTCTGACGATAATATGTAAATAATACAACCTGTCGTAGATCAATGCAAAGCTACCTTATTACTCATTCAAAACAGACACAGAATTGATGTAAAGATCAGTTCGACTAATATCTCTGACAATGCATATAAAGAAGAAAATAGGCAGTATATAAATGCAAAGCTACCTTATTACTCATTCAAAACATACACAGAATTGATGTAAAGATTTGTTCAACTAATATCTCTGATGATGTATATAAAGAATAAAACAAGCGGTTTATAAATGCAAAACTACCTTTTTACTCATTCAAAACAGACACATAGTTGATATGAAGATTTGTTCAACTAATATCTCTGACGATAATATGTAAAGAATAAAGCAGGCGGTATATAAATGCAAAGCTACCTTTTTACTCATCCAAACGAGACACATAATTGACGTAAATATCCGTTCAACTAATATCTTTGACTATAATATATAAAGAATACAACGGGCGGTATACAAATACAAAGCTACGATATTTTCTCCATACAAAAGAATACATCTAACATATGTTGCAAATAACACTGCAAAGGTTCAAAGACTACCACTACCTATGGAGAAGTGCGACGACGTATAAAGACAACACGCTTAAAACAGTCAATGAATGAAACAGTTAATGCAATTCACCCCTAAAGACTTAGCTAGTTAAATGACACAACACTGAGTGCACTAACCTGAGCTCGATAGGGAAGTACATCAGCGAGAGGCAGTTGAGTCAGCAGCTCTAGACAAGCAAGACTCGCCTCCCTCACCAGCAAGGGCTGAAGCAGGGGTCCTGAAGACGTTCCTTTATCTTCCACAGAACATTTTTGATCAAGCACATCCGTGAGGGAAAAGCCAGCAGCAGCTTCATCTGAAGATTCGCTAAGCTGTACTAAAGTCTTAAAGGTTTCTACATCATCGATAGCCACATCGACTGAGGAAGTTATCTCTGAATTTTCACTTTTCGTACTAAACGTTTGATGATTTTGAACTTTGTTCCTGAGGAAGCATTTAGCACCTTTATTCTTAGTTGCATGCGGTGAATTGGTTAGGGCGAGAAGAGCTAAGACGAGCGACCCAGCGTGGGACGCGTTCTGTGAGGGCAAAGGCTGGGCCTGCAGCAGCAGCCGTAGCGTGGATACGCTGCCCGACACCACGGCAGACTCGGCCGTACTGCGCACACCTTCCACCAGCACCACCAGCAGCTGGTAGATAAGAAAACAGGTGTTAGGTAGCTGGCAAAAGCTGTGTGTACACGGGGACAGTAGTGGCGGCCAGTACATCTAATGTACTAACCGCTACCAGCACCACCAACAGCTGGTAGATAACAAGGCAACAGGTGTTAGGTAGCTGGCAAAAGCAGCGTGTACACGGGGACAGTAGTGGCGGCCAGTACAACCGCCACCAGCACCACCAGCAGCTGGCAGGTAGATAAGACAACAGGTATTAGGTAGCTCGCAAAAGCTGTGTACACGGAGAGCCAGTGGCGGCCAGTGCAACTGTAATGTACTAACCGCTACCAGCACTACCAACAGCTGGCAGATAACAAGACAACAGGTATTAGGTAGCTGGCATAAGCTGTGTGTACACGGGGACAGTAGTGGCGGCCAGTACATCTAATGTACTAACCGCTATCAGCACTACCAACAGCTGGCAGGTAGCAAGACAACAGGTATTAGGTAGCTGGCTAAAGCTGTGTGCACAAGGGGACAGTAGTGGCGGCCAGTACAACTTACCCATACTAACCGCAAATACTTGTGATGATGATATTGGTCTCGGGTATAGGCGCTATGGGCCACGGAGGGTAACCGTTTATATGAGGCCAATAGCATGATAATTAGCAGCAGTTAGCATTTTAAAGTTTTACTGGCCGCCAGTGCTTTCCTCGTTTACAAGCATCACTAGGAATGGAGTGACAGTAAAAAAAAATTTATTCAATTAAGCTTATTTGTCGTGATACCCACTACTACAGTAAGTGATACACATTTGTCGTGATACACACTACTATAGTAAGTGATACCTACCTATTTGACGTGATACCCACTTCTATAGTAAGTGATACACATTTGTCACTAAACTATAATGCAGAACTTTCAAACCAGCCGAACTGTAAGCTACTGAATATCCTCGAACACATTCAATTATCTTGTCAAATATTCAGCAAGGCATTCCGGCTAAAATAAGGTTATCACATAAAGAACATCCATCTGATTAATGGCACATGAATAATCAAAGCATGGTAACATAAAGTGAAAACAATGAAGTAAATAAGCATGTTCGGGAAAAATTAAGGTCGTTTCCCGGGTGTGTGGGCACCAAACATGTGGCAGGAATGCAGGCAACACGTTCCCTAGATAGCTATTTTATATAGTCAATGAAGGTTCAAAACTCAAAAGTGATTCAGTGTAGACAAAAATGCCATAAAGAATAATTCAATAGGTAAATAAGGATAAGTATACGTTGGAACTTCCTGAATTATAAAAGAAAATATGGCTCACGAATAACAGGAATATATCAAGATCGAAATATGAACAGGGAAAATATGGTTCGGCTGGACGCGACCGTTGACCTCGTCGGGGTTAGTCGTTATGCTATCACACATTGGTAAGGTGACCGGCCAATGAGACTCGAAGGAGCTCAGGGTGTCACATTCGTGAACTAAGCCGAGGAGCGCAGAACTGACAGACACTTTGGAACACACTCTTTATATCTAACGGTTGCCGCCTATCCATCCAGTCGCGCTAGTCAATAATGTATAGTCATTCAACTTGCAAGAACAATCATCCAAGCGGAAGGCAGAGCCGTTTACAGGACCATAATCAAGGCAGGTCCTCTGGGATTGAGTAACACATTTGACGCATCCTGCCATGTAAGACGACCAGGGCCTGTACTTTCAAAAAAGTTAAGAGATCGTAAGTTCATCAGCCAATCATTGACGGCCTTTCAAGCAAAAGCCACCAATCATAGACAAGAAAATAGAGCGTAAGTACTTACGTTCACTTAGAGAGTTTTGAAAGTACGGCTCTAGGGTAATAAGCCAGTTCAGGTCTTGACGATAAGATATCTAGCGGAGTTCAGGGCCGGAGGTGAATCCAGAGACCTGTCACGACAGACCGCCCAACGGCAGCCGTGTCCATCAACGCCCATTTAGAAAGGCGGCACAATTGAGAGTGAATTAATTCAAGCTAATGTTCAACGTAAGCTCCAAGTAATGCGTCAGAAAAAAAGAAAATGTGCGACCGACAGCAGAAATTCAGACCGCTACAACGTTCATCACACAACATTCATCACACAACATTCATCACACAACATTCATCACACAACATTCATCACACAACATTCATCACACAATATTCATCACACAACATTCATGAGACATTCACCTTGTCGATGTGGTGCTGCAGCAGCGGCTGGGGCACGTGAGGCAGCAGCGAGGCTATGGCCAGCAAGCAGCAGCGGCGCGTCTTGCCTGACGAGACGTCGAACTCCGACACCAAACTCGTCACCAGGCCTTCAAACGTGCGCTGCTTGTACAGTAACCTGACGAATACAGCGCTTATAGTACAAAAAACTGACGAATACAGCGCTTATAGTACAATACCCTGACGAATACAGCGCTTATAGTACAATAAACTGACGAATACAGCGCTTATAGTACAATACCCTGACGAATACAGCGCTTATAGTACAATACCCTGACGAATACAGCGCTTATAGTACAATACCCTGACGAATACAGCGCTTATAGTACAATACCCTGACGAATAC